ACACTTTATTAGGCAGTCTACGAAGTTCCCTCAATTACTTCGTGAAAGGAAACACTGACACATGAAGCTCGTCCGATCACTTCATAAAAGAAACGATGACTCCAAATCTCTTCAAAATAAAAGTATGGGGAAATACTAATATAGTACTCCCATACGCTCCCGTAACCGACACACAATAGTGTCAAAAAAGACTTTGTACATGATAGTACTTCTGGCATATTATAGTACCCAGGTATGAGTAGGACTCGTACCCCAGAACATAATAATACCCCGGCACAAGTAGAACCCGAGACACAGAGCTTTGAAAAAGACTTCGTACATAAAATGTACTTTTCTACGTAGGACGTACTCTGCCGATCATCAATCTCAACACACACGTACTCTTAATAAGAGGCTACCCAATGTCCACACTTAATTGAACTAAACATCCCCTTTTAAGTCTTATCCCATCACTAGGCAAAACTACAATGCTTATAATCAATTTTCAATACCATCTCCGTTTAGGTAACGCTAACTAGTGTATAGTTAACACAGAGTTTTGGGTATTAATTTACTTTTTTTTAGAAATAATACTCCTATTATTATTATTATTATTATTATTATTATTATTATTATTATTATTATTATTATCACGTAATAATATCATATATATACATCTTAACACATATAGAACCATAACTGGTTCACACATTGTATATCATCAAATATATATCTAACACATATTTCAGGCAACGCATATAACTGACATATAAAATTTCAACAAATATTTAAAATTTTAATTAATATTTGTATTAAAATCATGTTCATGAAAGTAACTATGCACTCACTTTAGTAGCGGGACTGGATAAAATCTAACTAGAAACGGTCAGCGGTTCGTCGTTGTCAGGCTCGGGAAGGGAAACGCCTTCAGCAAACGAGAGAGAGGAAAGAGGTTTTGGTGTAAGAATGGTTGAGGTCGAAATGGCTATTTATAGGCTGATTTTTGGCCTCTCACTTCGTGAGAATTCATTGCTCACATCGTGAGCCATGCCTGATCACCTCGTAGCTTCGCCACATGCGTTCTAGGCTTGCATAGTGTCCGTTTCACTCCTCACGCCGTGAGAATTGATGCTCACGTCGTGAGCCCGTTCCGTAGACTTGTCATCTGCATTCTAGCCTTGAAAAGTGGCGTTTTGACTCCTCACATCGTGAGAAAAGAGGCTCACGTCGTGAGTCCATTCAGATTAGGGTTTCTGACACGTGTCATGCTCTCAGACAGCTGCATCTTCGGAAGGTCATAACTTTTGCATTCGAGCTCCGTTTTTGACGTTCTTTATATCCACGCGTAGGTGGAGACGTACTGTAAAACTTTCATTTAGACCCCTAAGGCTAAAAAGTACTTTATCGTAAACTCACTTTTTACGATTCCCGGTGTCGTGTCGATTTTGTCGCGAAACTTCGACAGATCATAACTTCTTCGTTATAACTCTGATTTCAGCGTTCTTTATATGTACGGAAACCTTGTGACATATACTACAACTTAGTTAAGATTATTTATTCTAAATAATACTCTATCAAAAATCATTTTTGACGCTTATCGTCTCTAAATTGACTAGCCCGAATCTGCAGGCGTTACATTCTTCCCCTTCTCGCTCTGTAACGGGCTCTATAAACTGAAATTTATATGAAGAGGAAATACCTACATATTGGGGGGAAATAACCAAAACCACTTATCGAAACCTGCAACATGTTGTTATTAATCACATGTTTATAGCAATGAAAACCTGTAGAAACTAAATCACATATAAAAGAATCATTTGTCGTAGTTCACCGACATCGATCGACATGAGAGAAAACAACGGCGTTAGATACATGGACACAAAGGTCTTATTCGAAGCAGAAAATACATTCTTGATTTCTTGAACCACATTTGATGCTATTTTTTTTTCATTTCGTGTATATTATGAAGGGTATTTTGAGAAATTGACTTTCAAAATTTATTGGCCGAAAAAAAGCTTCGAAGGGACTTATTAGATGGCCTGCACTATTTTATTAGATAGGAAGAAGATAACAAAGTTAATATCAAAATTGAGTAAATTACACGAATGGTCTCTGTGGGTTGGGGCAACTTGCACGTTTGGTCCCTAGTTGTTTTTTATTTAACTCAGAATGTCCCTACTATATGTGTTTGTTGCACGTTTGGTCCCCGTTTGATCTAAAATGACTATTATGCTCTTATTAATTTCTTTTATAATTAAATTTATGATTTACATATTTCTTTTATAATTATTTATTATTTATATATTAATGAACTAAAAAAATATCATCCCTAAAACCTAAACCCACCACCAGTCACCTGTTTTCGTTTTTTAGAGACTATTTCCTCTTGTCAGTCACCAACATCACCACAACACCACCGTCGAGTAAAACATTGTGAATCGGAGCCACCACCACTATTAATGACGTGAATCAAAGCGATTACACCACCATCACTGCATTCCCTTGTTTATTTAAACCTTGTTCGGAGTCACTGCCACCAAAAATTGTTTTCTGAAATCGGTATGATCCATTGTAATTTATTTCCAGCGGGTCAATTCATTAACCAAGTTGAACGGTCATCTGAAATCCGAGTTGAGTCGGTCTGAATGGCTAAAAGCTTGTTGCAGTCAAAGATAAATGGGGTGACTGAAAAAGCAGGGATGTAGGAGATTGAGAAAGGATTAGTTTCTGTTTTTTGTGACTGGGCAGGTGAATCAACTGGCGGAGGAGAAACTTGAGAGTTTGAGGGATAAAATCGAGAGCTTGGAGGGTGAGATGAAAAGGGATTTGGAGGAAAAGAGTGAGATCGAGAAATCGAAGAGTGAGAAAGAATTTGAGATTAGGTTTCGTGATTTCTCTTGTCCGCGACGACTGGACCACCAACGACACTCCTTTTCACGCCTCTGTTCTCAAGGTTTCACATATGGGTTGCAAAAATCAAGGTTTTGAATCTATTTCATTTTGATTTTCTTTTTGATCTCGAGGTTTGATTTGATTTTAGTTTTGATCTTGAGGTTTGATTTGATTATAGCAGTTCTTTGTTTTTCTATTTTGGTTGCAGGACGTAAGGAAGATAGAGAATGAGAGAAAGAGTGGGAATCTAAACAGCGAGAAAAACTGAAAGGAGAGAAGGGAAGTGTTTTGGACTTTTGGTTGTCGACTCCGGCTAGCTCCGTCGAACATTGAAGTCTAGTGTCAGTGTACGTTTTTATAATCCGACAAGAAAATATTGAAAATAAAGGAGAGGAAGGGGAATAGATAACCCCATGTAATATATATAAATACATAAACGAATAACATAAATTGAAAAAAATTATTAAGGACACTATAATCTTTTTAAGTATATCAGAGACCAAA